ATATGCATCATCTGGTGTATTGAACTCTAAGTCCTTCCAAGAATCACGAACAGTAGGATCTATACCATTGAAACCTACAAACATTATCAAGCAACATATTAAATATGTACAAATATAATACCACCATGGTATGATATGGTAAAATGGATTCCACACCACAATAGTATGAAATCTCAATGTATACCAATAATTACAGCCATGATACAAGAGTTACCACCATGGTATGGCATGGTAAAATCAAACTATCACACTATACCACATGGTATGGCATGGTAAAATCAAATTACCACACTATATCATATGGTATGGCATGGTAAAATCAAACTACCACACTATACCACATGGTATGGCAAGGTAGAATCAAATTACCACACTATACCATATGGTATGGCATGGTAAAATCAAACTACCACACTATACCACATGGTATGGCATGGTAAAATCAATTTACCACACTATATCATATGGTATGGCATGGTAAAATCAATATCACACAGAACCCTCACATTTAACTTCCTAATTACCACATTTTACCACATGGTAATGCACTGTAAAATCAATTACCACACATAACCCCACCTTTAACTTGAAACTACCACACTATACCACATGATAAGGCATGGTAAAATCAAATTACGACACTATACCAATGATTCCAAACATGGTACAAGTAATTACCACCATGGTATGGTATGGTAAAACTTAAATACAGAGGACAATAACATCACAACACAACACTATAGTATCACCTCTCATCGTATACCAGTAATTACCACCATGGTACCATATGGTATCTAACACATTCAAACTTCAATAAACAAACAAATTTGTATATCTTACCTCCTGATTCACCAGAGTTAGCTGAATGATCAAATCCAAGATCGATAGATGAAGAAGCAGTTCCAACAGCACTAGATGAAGAACCAGATCCTACAACGCTGGTTGAAGAACCAGATCTATCAATTGGAACAACATCGCCACAATTTACGTAACTCATCTCACCAGAATACTGCAAAAACACCAAAACACAAAGAACATAACACATGAACAAGCTCGATTAGCTAAACATAAACAAGCTCGACTAGCAGCAATGAAAAACCTCCAAAGAAACCAGAGATCAACAGAAAACTCGATTAGCTAAACAGGAAGAATAAAAAAAAACTAATACCTAACCTCGTCGTCGATCAATTATGGAGAATCAGAAAAGATTCGCCGTCCCCTGTTTCTCAGCGGCTGCTCGCAGTTTCTCTCTACAAAAACCGAATCCAACTCGCGCACACGTCGATCAATTATGGCGAATCAGAAAGCTCGATTCGAAGCTGCTGCTCGCAGTTTCTATCGCCGTCGATCAATCATGGAGAATCGCCGTCCTTGTTTCTCAGCTGCTCCTCCCCTGCTCGTAGTTTCTCTCTCCAAAATCCGAATCCAACTCGCGCACAGAAAGATTCGCAACGGACAAAAGGGGGAAGTCATTAATTCAAAAAATCAGACAAAAATGCCCCTGACATCACCGCATTAACCACAGCCACACGATACGTCCGCCCCAGATCAACGGTTCCTAGGTGGTTACTCACCCTATCCTAAGCCGGTTTACATGTACTAAGCGTTGAGGTTTATGTAGTAATAATACGTGGAAAGTAGACCCAAAAGTGAAAAGTGGGAGCTAACTAAAGATCACCACCACCGCCCCAAGTTGAGTAGTCAATAATTGCGGAGAGAACGGAGAAAGCGACGGTCGAAGAAGGTTTCTGCAACAAATACGACTCTTAATTAACTTTCTACGAGAAAATGATTGTTGCTTTAGAAATATAAATCTATGTTATGTCATATAGTACGCGAAGCTATTGTTTGTTGGGCACTGTGGATGGATGGATGGATCTTTCGATGAATTATATAAAGCAGCAGCCGGAAGATTTAGAGAGGGAGAGAGAGAGAGAGAGAGCACAATCAGTGTATGTGAAGGAGACGACCGTCGCTGTCCAGAGGACGCCAACATGGAGACCAAGCATCATGGGAGCACTCCCATTTGTTGGATGTTGGTGTATGTTTCTACACTGTAATCATCATCTTTGTTTAAATAAATTACATGGAAGGTATTGCCAATGGCGGCTGACCCAACCACAGTATCAACCGGCATAGTTATAATTTTGTAAATCGCGGCAAAGAAATGTAACACGTTGGATTTAGGTGGTTTTCGTCATTTGATGTGAATAGTTACACTTAAAGATTGAAAGTTTGGTCACGATTTATGAGATTATTTCAAATACAGCACATAGGATGAACTGCTCGACTTAATACAAATCCTCCATTCGATCATATTTGAGTCTTGTAGTCTTGATATTATAACACATGCGTAAAAGTTGAAGTACATGAAAAATGTAAACAATCGGAGAAATTAACAGTTTGCTAATATAACTTATTGTGAAGAACGAGTATATTTTATGTAGAGTTTGATCAAAAAAATTTGGTGGACTACAAAATTGGTCAGATCGACCACATTCTCAATTAGGTAAACCATAAGGTGACTTACATTGGCCACTTCTCCTTCTGTAAATATATCTATCTTAAGTTTTGCATAGCTTTATAAGAAAATATATTGGTAACTTGGGTAGAGGCACCGAATACTCTAAAAGCAACAAGGATGAACATAACATCGTCGAAGATAACAAAGAAGCATGAATATAACATCAAGAAGTAATGTTGATTCATTTACAATAACATACAAAAAGGTTCTTCATTCATAGCAAACCTGGACCAACCACATGAACAAGATGCATCAATGATCAACCCACGAGATAATGTTAAGAAGACACCACTTCTAAGAGACAGATAACCCTCAAATTTAGGTGATATTATGCAAAATGCTCGATCAAAGTAGAAAAGACGATTGACTGAATCAAGCAATTTATGGCCATATGTTAACATGTTTTGGACTTTATGACATGCTAAGGCTTGTTGTTTAATGATTTAAGTGATTAAGGGATTAAAAGTTTCACAATTTAGGGGGTTCAGGGGATTAGAGATTAGAGTTTGGGTATTAAGGCTCAAGTTTAGAACTTAAGGATTAGTCTAGGGTTTAGGTGTTTAGCAATCCAAAGTTTAGGGTTTTGGTTATCAGGGGGTTCAAAGGGTTAGGATTTAGGATTTAGGGAAATTTATGTTTTAAGTTTCTTCAAAGGTTAATATTTTGAGTGTTAAGGTTTATGGTTTAGGATTTTGATGTTTAGGATAGAGGGACTATGATTTAGGGGGTTTGATGGCCTAGGGTCTATGGATTAAAATAAGTTTTAGAAGATGAGAATGTAATGTTGCTTTGGACATGTAGTCGATGTAAACCATGAAGAGTTACATTTTTGTATGTGGATTAAGTTTTAATAATTCAATATGGATTCTGAATTCTTTATTCATATTCCTTCAATGTGAGTCATTTTTTAGCTCATCGTTTTCGCTTCCAAAGTCTACAACGTCTTCACATAAATAAACTATTGGGAGACTTAACAAAACTTAGAAATTAATAGTCTACCAGATCGATCATGTGGTCTCCCTAATTGTTCATGTATCGATTTGACCAACCTTTTGGTTAACCTAATTGAGTATATGTAGTCGTCCGCAAACCTCCGCCTACTGATGTTTACCATAAGCATACCTCGAGAATTGTCCAAGTTTATAAGTGAAAATATTTTCCGAAAGGGTGCTTCTTTGAGGCTACTGCTCAGCCTCGTCCATCTTGCGGTTGGCAAAGCATTCTGTTTGGTCGGCAGTTGTTGGAACAGGGGCTTATATGACAATTGGTAATGCCCAGTCTGCCCCGCTGCTTCACACCAATTGGATGCCTCGGCTACACCCCCACGCTCCGACTTTCAATCCCCAGGTACTGCTAGAAGATGGTAAACTTGTGGTTGTTGATGTTATATGTCAAGGGGAAGGATGTTGGTGTGGCTTAAAGTTTAGCCAGTGGTTTGACCCGCCTACTTGTCGTGCTATTAAAGAAGTCCCTCTCCCACGACATAATATTGAGGATCACCATGTTTGGCATGGAACGACAGATGGGGGTTTTTACAGTGAAATCAACTTACCATTTGGCAGTCTTGCTGGATAAAAAAGAAGGCCGGTGGAGATCGCTGGTGAGTTGGATGGATAGGCCCAGTTGGATTCGGTTATGGGAAGCTCCTATTCTCCCCAAGCTACGAATTTTGCTGTGGCAAGTTTTCAATCGTCTCTTCCCTATGACCGAAGCTCTTATTGAGAAGGATATCCAGGTCCATCCTCGATGTCTGGTTTGCTGGGCGGAATCAGAGACGATGGAACATTTGTTCCTTAATTGCCCAGTTGTTAGGGCCTTGTGGGACTATGCGGGATAAGAGTATCTCGGTCAAGGGCTGCCTCGACACACTTTTCCATTATTGATTATTCCTTGAAAAAGTTGATGATGCTTATTCACCAACCTTAACTGTTTATGGCAGTTGCTGCAATCCTTTGGCGAATCTGGCGGTCTCGAAATTGGGTTGTCTTTGAAGGCAAGCAGTTTGGGATCCCAGCTCTCATGCGACAATTCAATCAGCAGTATCAGGAATGAGTAAGTTGTATCCTAGAGAGAGAGACAACCGGATTGGAGCCCTACTTGGCGAAGTTGTGCATTGCTTATCAAACCAAAGACGGTTCAGTGTGCAGTTTGTAGGTCGGCGTAGTAATAGGGTAGCCCATTTGGTTATTAGGAAGGCCCTTCATTTGTACCCGACTACGAGTCGCTTCTTTGATTTTATGACCTGGTTAAATTTCAGGATGTAATTATAGTTTTTCTGATCAATATATGATTATCTATTTTCAAAAAAAAAATATTTATATCTAAAACCCAACAAATTCACCATTCCTATGAGTACCCAATTACTCTATAGTTACACCCACGGTTAATAAATCCAGTAATTTGGTACCATCAGAAACAGAGCAAGAAATTAAGCTGGAAGGTACCATTTCGGGTTGTGATTAAAATCCCGAACGATTCAGAATTGTGATCGATTTTGAGCATTAGTTGATATTTGAGATTTACCCTTTGGAGAAACATCCATGAAAATTTGTGGAACTTGGCCGAGTACAGTCCAAAGCTAAGAGTGCATTAAGAATGAAAACTGATACAAATACTGATCTAAACGTATAATGAAGCGATGGATTCATGCTCGACACAAATTTTGCAGCTTATGCTCAGCTAGAGACTGGGACACAAAGGAAAGAACTGTAAACAACAATCACCCCGCGTTTCGGGGACCAAGCTAACAACGAACTTTTATAAACTTACATTGTCGAATCCTTTTTACCAAATCTGATCCTAGACGTTGCTGTAATCTCCAGACGAATGAACCCAACCAATCTTTTTTCTTGCCAAAGAAGCTCTTCCTAGTACAAACAAACAAATTATTGCAGCATGTCCTATCATTTATTGGCGTCCTGGGGGGGGGTTTATTGCAATGCTTTGTTGGCCACTCCAGTAAAACGGCCATTCATTCCCAATTCTCACTCGGGCGAAAGAAACTATCTATATGATCAATACACACGAGCTTTAGGTGGGAACGTTTCCACCTCGTCGTCTAATGTGTTCATGTGTACTGGCCTGTATTCGAGCCGCACTTTCTCGTTTTCCCAGTATCTGAAACACCCAAAAGAAACAGAGAAGGCATATGATCAATCATCCATTAGCTTTCCGATTATAACCGAAAAGCAATCTTTCCACACCACTCCAGTAAGGGGGATTAAGAGGCTTACCCCAATGTATGCTTCATCCACTTCTCGTCGTCTCTTTTCTGCACCAGTGCAACAAAAATGAAATATCTACATCGTCCCATAAAGGATGAAAATTTGAAGCCAGAAAAGTGGAGTTGAACTCACAGTGAAGTCCTCACGAGCATGTGCTCCTCTGCTCTCTTTCCGAGCTTCGGCAGAATGCATTGTGATGCACGCATTGATCAGGAGGTTTTCCAGTTCTATCGTCTCAATCAAGTCAGAGTTCCTACATAATCCATATTGTACACATAAAACCATTTGTCAAATCACTAGGAAAACAATTAGAAGTTTACGGTTAAATATCAATTGTTCTTTGGTTTAACCATACCATATCAAACTTCTATCTTGCAGCTGAACATCATGGAAACTATCCCAGGCTTTGTCAATCAGCTGGCAACCTGCGATCGAGAAGAGTAATAAGGCATGGGTCATATTTGGAAAGAGACATAACAAATTGTGTCATAAACAAAGGGAATGACATGAGACTTAAAAAAGTGACGTACCTTCTTCCAGAGTTTCCTGTGTACGGAAGACTGCAGCATTATTTTGCATCACTCTCTGCATATTTAACCGAATTTTGGAAGTTGGAAGTGATCCATTTGAATTTCTAATCTTGTCAAGCCACGCAACAGTCTTCTCTCCAGCATTTGCCTCCAAAGGCTTCTGTTTCTCCCCTGTAAAGGTAGACAAGTAGAACCGTTATTTTCAAAAAGTCCCCATTATTATATTTGGGTTGTGGACACTAGTCACTTCATCATACTATTACTTTGGACTTGCCTGGTGTATGGATCTCCGCCACTCTGTTGGCACAAGCACGACCAAAAACAACAATATCAAGAAGAGAATTTGCACCAAGTCGGTTTGCCCCATGAACAGATGCACATGCTGCCTCTCCAGCAGCCATTAAACCGGGGATTACAGCATCTGCATCGTTGCCTTTCACAGTAACCACCTGAAGGACAGATATAAGACAATAGATGAGATGCCAATCAGCCCCTATGCTAAGGTTCAAGTACTTCAGGCAAATACATCTAACATGTTCTCTGCTCTTCAGAATATTGTAGATTTCTTGACCTCATCCTTGGTTTGTTCATATATCGCGGGGGGGGGGGGGGGGAGAAATGGATATAGTTCCCTAAGTCGTACCTCTCCATGATAATTTGTGGGAATTCCGCCCATGTTATAATGAACAGTAGGAAGCACAGGGATTGGTTCCTTTGTAACATCTACTCCAGCAAAGATTGCAGCAGTTTCAGAGATACCAGGAAGCCTTTCCTTGAGTACTTCTGGTGGCAAATGATTTAAATGCAGATAGATATGGTCCTTCAATGGTCCTGACAGAGAATGCATAAACTTTCAGTTAGTTACAGAAGGGTAACGGACATTAAGTATAGAATAGTTATACCAACTTCAAGAAAGTAATGACTAATCTTTATCCTAATTGGTAATCTTGAACCAAAATCGAGCATGAACAGATAAACTATGACACATCATAAATAAACTGAACATAGTTTCTGCTCACTAATCCATGTATATTTTGTCAAGTTCAAAGCATTCTTATGCGAGAACCATAACCTGTCATGCAAATGACTAATAAGGATATCCCAATTCCCAACCATGAAAAGAAGTACGAAGCATGAAGAAAGAACGATGTACAGTTGAGTGAAACAATCATACCTACGCCACGGCCCTCCCGAATTTCCATGGTCATGGATCTTGAAACAACATCTCTTGAAGCAAGATCCTTAGCAGTAGGGGCATACCTTTCCATGAATCTTTCCCCTTCACTGTTCCTAAGGATACCACCCTCACCACGAGATCCTACATATCATAGGTAACATGAGGAAATAAACATTCACTTCAGACTAAAACAAACTACCACCCCCAACAGAAGTAGATAGCAATATTAAAGGACACAAACAGAAAGTTAAGGGTGGGCCTAGAGATTTCCATGGGTTTGAAAAAGTTCTAACCTTCGGTAATAAGGCATCCAGCTCCATATATGCCAGTAGGGTGGAACTGCACAAACTCCAGATCCTGCATGAAAGTACAAGTCACCAACAATGTTAAAACAGAAAGGGAGATCATTGCATACGGGGCCCATTCCAAAATCTATAAACATGGGTAACCTGAAGAGGAAGTCCAGCTCTTGCAACCATGGCATTGCCATCTCCGGTGCATGTATGAGCTGAGGTCGCAGAGAAGTATGCTCTACCATAGCCCTGAACTCAAAAGAAGAAGACGCATAATTATAAAGGGCCCAAAGTGCTTTTCAACTAAGAGCAATGATGTCAATTAAGTAAAATACCCCAGTGGCAAGAATAGTTGAAGAGGAACGGAAACGATGTAATGTCCCATCCTCCATATTAAGGGCAATTACCCCTTGACAGGTTCCTGAATAAAACGATAACAGACAAGTTATTCCAAAGTCCAGAGTGAGGCTAAAGTGAAACTATAATATGCCTTGTGAACACAAAGCAAAAGCAAGTGAATATGTCAAAGACATGTCGCTATAGAGGCATCCAAATGCAACAAACATGGATTATGCAAAAGTGATGAGTTACAGGATCCATGCCCTTAATACAAGGAGTCCAAGACTCTATTGGGACGAAATTATCAAACTCCGTGGGTCAAACAACAATAATAGAGAGCAATGACATTGCAGAACCCAACATTACTGACTACTGATCACGGAAAAACCAAGAGGACATGTCACAAACCAAGCCTAATATGCTTATTGAGGGGGAAACAAGTGTACCATCACTACTCATCAACAAGTCCAAAGCAAAATATTCCACAAAGAACTGAGTATTGTGTTTCATTGCTTGGCCATAGAGAGTATGCAGAAGAGCATGCCCAGTTCGGTCAGCAGCACAAGCACAACGGTAGGCTTGTCCGCCTGCATCAATCACAACAAGAAGAGAAGATTCCATTGTCAAAAGCCTATCACCACAGCCAATCCATTTAGTTTATACAGCAAGTTAAAACTCTAGTTTTCCATTACCTTTTCCAAAATCTAAACTTTGACCACCAAACGCTCGCTGATAGATTTTCCCATCCTCTGTACGAGAGAAAGGTAGCCCATAGTTCTCAAGTTCAATGACAGCTTTTGGTGCTTCACGACACATGTACTGAATGGCATCTTGATCACCTGTTGATACGTTCTTGGACATTAATCTACAACTCAAAATTGAAGATAAAGAAGAGGGCCAAAAGGGAAAGCTCAACAATGCAAGAGGCAGCCCAGGTAATGTAGATAACATTACAGAACCGAGTTGTAATACAGGAAAAACAATTACATGATTAAATATAATAACTCAAAACAATCCCTAAAGTATTGTGAAGCTAGGAAATACCTTAAACAGCTTTCCCTTCAGTAAATTAACACTTTAAGCAACAGTAGTAACCACCAATATCACAAAAGGGAAAGAGCATACCTAACCAGTCACTGCCCTTGACAGTGTCATACATGTGCCATCTCCAATCATCCTCGCTCATATTCCCAAGAGCGGCATTGATACCACCCTGTGCCATCAAACCAAGAAAGATTATGTACAAACTAGCAAACAACGCCACGCTTCCTACGGTATCATCAAGTGGCTAGAGCAACCCCATACCCACTAGCTCAAAGCCAACTATTTGAGGTAAAAAAAACATCAGATACCCCTAGCAATCCTAAACACCATGGATTGTTGGACAGACAGACTCATCTACTGGTCTAATCATCCATCGTTCTTTGTCAACGAAGGGTGCATAACAATATAATGGAACATCACTGACCATGTACAATTTTTCCTACCAAAATTCATAGAACATTCAATACAAGAGCAAGTAAAATTAGAGCACACTTCTTAATGACAGGGAAACCAATAAACCGGAAACTATACCTGAGCTGCAACTGTGTGCGACCGGGTAGGAAAAAGCTTTGTAATGCAAGCTGTGTTAAAACCATGCTCTGACAGACCGATGGCTGCTCTCAACCCTGCGCCACCAGCTCCGACCACAACCGCGTCATAGGTGTGATCAACAATTGTATATGAAGAAGTCTGCAACCAACAGTATCACAAACCATCATTATTTTCCAGACCCAAGAAAACCACACACACACACAAAACCAACAGCAGCAATCCAAAATTTCGCTTGATACGCCGCTGAGAATTTCGGATAATCACAACAAAATAGAAATGGAAAGGGATCCAAGAATTCTCAATTCCGAAACTGCTGAATGATATTCTAGTTCTAGCCTGAACTTGACATAACTAACAGGAAACTAAAGAACAGCGAAGTTAAACACAAATACATGCAACGAGTGAACAGCGAATCCTAATTGCGAATTCCAGTCAGAGATTCAGCTCAGCTAGCCATGAAAACGAAAGCGAGGTGAAAAGCTGATCCAATAAAAACGAGGAACGCAGGCTGTACCGGGCTGGTTGAGAAGAATCTGGTAATGTGAGATCTAAGCGAGTCCTTAGAGATCGATCGCTTGCCAGAAGAAGAAGAAGGAACGCGAAGGCCGCGAGCGACACACCGCCACATCTTTTTTCCGATATAAATCCAACTCCGTTCGTTCGTCGGCCTCCGGTAATGACCAGTCCCAATGAATTTGATCACCGAATCAACACTTGCTCCGACCAGTGTCCAGAGATAGATCCGTGGACGGAAAGTGGGAGGATGAGAGACGGCGGAGGCGGAAAGTCTCCAAAATGGGTTGGGTGGAGAGAGCCTTAAGGCAGCCGAGTGTTCAACTTAATTAAGCACAAAGGTCCTAACAAATTGAAAAGGATGATGCATGAATGTGACGAGGTCACTAATTCAAAAGGGCCTTGTTGTTTCGGAAAACTACTGAAATGCCACCCGGTTCGGTCGGAGCCTGGAGGGAACCGACTCGGGTAAATGGCATTCGATGTCGATGTCGATGTCGATGCCATGCCATTCATAGTCTGAGAAATTACGCAAACTAGCCATCTGCCTCAACTTTTATGGCGACGAAGTCACTTTAACTTCTTTTTTATTTTCTTTGACAAATTAGCTAGTACGATTACATGTCAATAATCACATCTAACTCATAAGTCATAACTCGTAACTAAAACAAGGTTTGCTAACATGATAAAGTGTTACCAAACTATAAATATTCATGCTCATATTCTCCAAACTCAATTCCTTCAAGTTACACACTCTTAGCTCTTAAGGGGCATAACCTCAATTTGATTTCTCATAAGTCGTTAGTCCTCTCGAATAATAGTTTCAGTATCTCAGAAGCATAATGATACACTCGTCTCAAATACCGGAAGTGAGATACTGCTCCCAAAAAAAATTACGAATACTAGGGTTTGTGACAGCTGAATATGAATATTTTCAAATTATTAAAACAATAATACCCAAAAAAATACATAATCGAAAAATGCAAAAGACACAAGTCCTATATAATTTTGTTGATGTCACAAAAGAATCTTATATCTTTTGAAAATTTTCAAACGATATTTGATCTCGTATATTTATAATTTTTCAATCGAAATTCTATATCTTTCGCTGGCAAATTACATCTTACAAGTAGTCATCAATTCAGAATTAAGATTATATGAGTAGAGTTAGGGTTTGGGTTAATCATGTCAATTCGTAATTAGGGAGGTGATATAGATAAAAGCATGGTGTGTTCTGTAGGTTGTAGTTGCCAGCATTAATTACTCATAGAGAAGGGACTTGGGGAGGTGCGGCCTACTACGTCGGTCGGTGGCGATGGTGGCCGGCCGTGACGGACGACGAGTACCTAAAATGGGCATTGCTGTTACAATTGCAGCCACGCCGGGGTTTCACTGATGGTGGGTTTAGCCACGATGCCTGCGGATCCACCACAAAAAGCCGACGATGGAGAGGACGGAAACATATGCACCTTTTCTCTTCTTTTGCGTAATTGACTTCCTTCCGAATTGATTCCCAACCGATAGGAAGAATGGATTGGCGATATGGACGGAAGGGCAGGTGGTGAGGGGAACGGTCGGGCTGACAAAACAAAAGTGACTCATTTTAGAATTGGGCCGGTGCTGGAGTCCGACGTGTTTGAGTTTGGGTCCATTGGATCATAAATCTGTTATCGGTCCAAGGACCTGCCGAAAATTGGGCTTGTGCATAGTCTAAGCCTTTCAATGTCCCGTGAGCCGGGGAAAAAGATTATGAAGCTAGATGCAGTTGGATAATTAAAGCCCATTGTATTGTGATAGAGGTTTTGATAAATAAAAATTGATACGAACATGTTACTAGTATTACAAATACACGACATAAGCAAGCATAGGTGGGGATTTAAATGGTTTTTAGTTCCGAAAATGGAACATCTATGGTTCGATTATAAGAAAAAGTATGATTATCGGATGTCGATTTTGTTGTTGATGAAATAACCTTTTTCACCCTATAACCGCCACAGAGCTCGTGTGGATTGGCTGAAGTTGATGTAGACCAAGGACTCGCACAAGTTAATGAGGAGGTGGATCTAACATGATGAGAATTGACCTAGGTAGATCGACAACTGTCGACAAATACAGTAATAAACACCTAGAGAACTGTATTTCCGTGAAAAAACTTCCTTTGAGAAATCAAATTGATTGCACCTTGATTTTTTGAATAACGATTAAGTTAAACACAGTTCTCATTTCTTCAAACAAAAATTAAACGAGGGTGCTCAATGTTTCTACGACTCACGAGACATATCTACATTAAATTAGCCTTACATCTTTGGAAGTTCAGTAAGAGCTTCGTAACTATGACTGAAAGTTGCAGAGGAAAGATAAAAATGATAAAAACTTGACAAGTGGTGTCGAGTTGTAATTTTTGTGAACCCCTCATCTGTCAATTCATCCTCTTATTTATAATCATGAGGAGGTAACCGTCGTAGAAAATCGTCGTTAAGTAATTTCCAAAAAGAAGCACCTCCCTTCTTTCTCGGACGTGGCTGGCGTGTTCTCGAATATTGAATAATCGACAGTTGCTCCCTCAACCGCCCATGCGCTTCTCTCTTCTGGAATTGAAGTCTTGGCGCTTGCCTCCTCTTCACCACGGCCAGATCTCACAGCCAACATGGTCAAATCTCGCGACTAAGACGATCAGATCTCGCGATCAACATGGTCGTCTCAGACTTAGCTCTCTCGTAGAGGTGGCAATTTCAATCCAATCCACCAATCCAATCCATCAATCCATTAAAAATATCCACCTAATCCAATCCATTTAAATCCAATCCATTTGATCCAAATCCAATTGGATTGGTGGATTCATGGATTGGATCCATGGATCATTGGCAAATTACGGTTTAGTACCTATAATTTTTATTTTTTACATTTTGGTACCTAGAATTTTATTTTTTATACGAAAAATATCATTGGAAAATTACGTTTTGGTACCTAAAATTTTTCATTGTGACATTTTAGTACCTAAACTTTTTACATTTTACATATTGGTCCTTGGTTGAGGATGTCATTTGGATTCATGGATAATCCACCAATCCATTTGATCCAATCCATGAATCCACCAATCCATTTGATCCAATCCATGAATCCATGGATCCACCAATCCAATCCACCAATCCACCAATCCAATCCATTTGCCACCTCTACTCGTGACAAGAGTAGCGCATTCTATAAGATTTAGTCGTTTTGGCTTAAAAATCTAGTACCATGACGCCCTTTTTGAATAGTATTAATTGTTATAGTTAATCTGACCTTTATAATGACTATAAATGTCTTGTAAATAATCGATATGTTACAAAATTATGTCTAGGTGTAAACAAGAATAATAGCACAAATTGACATATACCAATGTGAACATACAAAATTTATTCATCTACAGATGCTGACGGCGAGATATTGAGAGTTAACAACAAGAATCTGATCGGTGATGAGTCCATCAGGGTTGTAATCATATGACCATTCAATTATTGAATGCTTCAGCATCATCTTAGCAATCAACTTATCCCATAACTGAATTGGATAGTTCGGAGAACAGACATAATTTCTACCAAATGAAAGCGAGGTCCAGAAAGACGACAAATGGCGGACTGTTTAGGTTTTGGGTCTCTACTCCACTATACGCGAGAGAAGTGTGAAAACCTCAAGGTTGTCAAACCCCGATTGAACCCAGTTCGATTTTAGTCGGGCTTCAAAATGGTTTTTAGAAAGTCTTTGATCTGACCCCTAAAGAGGGAGAAAAGGAGAAGGGGAAGAGAGGAAGAGGAAGGAAGAAAGGGAGATGGTGGGTGAGTCATAGATAGATTTAAGCGGTGGAAAATAAGTTTTTAATAGATACATGTAAGATAAATTTCATTTCAGTGATGAAATCTTTAATTACTACCTTATTTGTATATATATTTAGAAAACGTCTACAACGGCTCAAACCGGTCGGGGCCCCGATCAGACCATTAAACCTCAAACCTCTTACTTGACCGACTCAACGACTTAAACCGGTTTGACAACCTTGGAAAACCCACAGCCATAAATTTACGTACGTGCACATTTTCAGGCCATATTATTAGCGGCGTGGCTTTGCTGCTGCTTCACACGCTGAGACAGAGCAGAGCGCTTGGAGACACATATCCATGTATGATTGGGGACAAAGAAAGACGACAATTTGCGTTATAAAAACCTCGGAAAACGAAAGTAGACCTAACTACTGTAGTGATACTGAAATCTGAATAGATCTGGTTTTGGCTCAGTTCTGTTGCAGGAGAGCGACGGTCGGTAGAGAGCAAGAAGGGAAAAAACACACAGACTTGTCAACGTTTAAGTTCCCATAAATGGAGTATTATGGAATGATGGTCTCCTCACATAGCCCTTTTTCCCTGTTAGTGTCTGTCTTGTATCACTTAATTGCCAGCTAGCGAGCCAAGATAAGCCGGACCACAATTTCGTTGCACTTGACTTAAATTCCCCCATTTGATCAACTTCTCTTGAAAATTATAGCAAATAGTTGTTGGCATACAACGATGATTAGATGTGTGTGGGGTGCTTACTCACTTTTTTCGGTTTTTCAATCTCTTCCAAGTGGAGGAAGGCTACCGCGCGAAGCGGGAGACGATCCATGATTTACATTTGATGACGATCAAATCATTTCATAATATAAAGTTTGTACGCAAAGTAGTTAGAGAAAGAAGACCAAAAGTGTTGAATATGACACGTAGTCTGAGCTCGTCGCTTGGAATGTTTGTGCATCCATATAATATAAGAGCACTTGAGACTTATTTAATTCGTCGGTATATATAGTTAGAAATTTATGTGTGTTCCTCTCTTGATCCACTCAATTATACTTCACAAGTCCAACATTTTCCTTCCTTTGAGCATCCTTAAAATAAAATACTAATCGCGTTGCATTTTTTACCATAATATTTTAGTGGTATGGAATATTATATTATAATGTATAATATTGTATTATATTATGGTGGTATGAAAATGTACCATGGTGATATGAATGTATTATAGTATAGAATGTTTGTATATTTGGTGAAAGAAATATACTATCATCTTTTGCCATCTACCACTATAAACGATGGTAATGATCCCGAAACCGGAACACATAAAAATTGACATAATTTTGCATATCACAGCGAACTACTTCTTTCTATGATTTTTTCTTTCTTTCAAATTCTAGTTAAAATGAAGGAGGTAGAGGGTGGTTCGCAAATTTTCCCCTAATTAAATAAAAAAATGGACAACCTTTGTTGTTCACAATGAACTTTAGGTGAAATTTTTTCAAAATTCAAATTAAAAAGAATGCGATACAATCAATTAAAAAGTAGGAAAATTCAAAATCCTTCAATCTCAAGTCAACTATCAAATCTGGACCCAAGCCCATTCATCAAAAAAAAAAAAAAAATCTGGACCCAAGACTTGATTTAGAAGTTACGCACGGGAAACTATACCGCTTATACGTGTAAAAGTAAAAAAGAAAAATCTTTAAGTAAAGAAACAAAATTTCATAGCAAGCATCCTGCCTTGAATAGCTAGTAAAATTTACAATGTGGAGCAGAAGTACAGGGGAAGCAAGTGGGAAAGATGCGAAACTGATACACATATATATGGTCCTAACCTCCTATACATTCATAATTAATTGCAACCTTCTCTTCAACTCATTGAATTGCTATGTAACATATTATGGGCATGGAACAGAAGACTTGCACTCTATGGACCCAAATCTCTACAATTTGCACAATATTTTCAGGCCTGGGCTGCTCAAAAGGGATCCCCTTCTTCTGGGCCTCGGGCCCAGCAACCTGATCAGCTTAGGTGCCCATGTCCCGGCGCTTGACGGTAATCGGTAATCCCTTGGGGAAATCGAGGTAAGGGAATGCAAAAGGTTGGTCCTCGTCAGCCAATTCCCACCGGTAGTTGAGGACCAGATGGTGGATGAAAACCGCCATTTCCAGCTTCGCGAACTCCGAACCTGCGCACAGCCGCGGCCCCCCGCCGAACGGCATGAAGTAGTTGTTGCTGTTCTTGCTGTTGTTCGCCGCCGCCGTCGTCGCGCTTGGCGATCCCCGGCCGTCGTTGTTGTTCTGTTATCACCGCAGTAAAAAAAAAATCAGTAAATATTGTCATCAAATTGACTCGGTAAAACTAGGGATGTTAACGGGATGGCCAATTGGCCATGACCTCTCCTTATCCTTTCTGGATTGTTGCTTTTTTTTTTTAACCTATGAGATGGACAGTTACCAAACGGGTAATTTGTCTCATCTGGGCGGTTTTGGACGAACCAGAATTCCTCTAATTTAAAATAACTCATTTAATTAGCCCTAATTCACTGTTGGCGGCAGTGAATTTAATATGGAAAAACGAACCTTTTAATTTGCTTTAAGTTGATGTCAGAAATAAATAAATAAATAAAGTTGAGGAAACAGTAAATATTCGAACATTATTTTTTTATCGCAAATATTCGAATCTAGATAATAAATAAAAGCCGAATGATGAAAACTGTTGTACCATTTCAAATTTCCTGCAACGAGAGTTATTATAGGAAGGACATTTTGGTCTTCACAATTGCTTATTTTCTTATTTATTTATTCATAAAAAAGGCATGCACTGGGATTTGAACCTTGGTCTCTTTAAAGGCAAGTAAGTATCATAACCAATCACACTAAGTATATTTGTTGTATCTATTTAAATTCAAACATACACGAACCTAAATTATGAAAATCATATGACTTTTTTAACGATTAGTTGGCCACTGAATCTCCCGTAAGTACTTATTTGGTGTTTTAATACTTTGATTATTTTAGTTATAGTTTAATACTTAATTTAAATTTCTATCTATTTTATAAATATACAATAACCCTAAAATTGCAGCTCAAATATCACTGGTTCGAATATTGCATATCGAATTGCAATATTAAACATGTAGAAGCAATATCGACTTCTTAAATTAATATTATTTTTCAGAATTACTATGGAGAAATTATATCTTTGTGCAAACTATATGAGACTGGTTCTTTTAATGTTTTAGTCGGGATAACCGCTACATTTTAAACTTCTTCATAATCTGGCATGATTGGATCCAATGATCATTATACAAGATTGTGTTTAATAGGGTGGCTCATTTGTAGGACAATGACAGGTCTACATCTACACTCATCACAATCTACACATCATATAAAGGTGAAATGTGAAATGAGAAAAGAGGGATTCCATTTCAAATTTGATGCGTACAGAGCAATTTTTTAGGGGTAAATTTAGAAGATGCCAGTGTGGTCGGTCTGTTGAGCACGAAAGTAAAAATATGTTTTCATTTAAACGGGCCCAAACTGTTATTTGGCCCACTAATCGTGCACCCATCGCCAACGCAGTCAAATTCGGGATTTTGATCGTAAAATCGTAGGATTTTACTTAGGGATTCCGATCTTGATTTTACTATAAAATCGGTGGACCTTAAAATCGTTTAAAATCGGGACTAAAATCGTTAAATAGTACCGAAATCGGGATTTTGATCGTAAGAGAACAAAATAGGTGGTTTGAGCCAATTTAAAATAAGTATAACTGTTTCAGCGGAAAGGGCAATGGAATCTTCTCAGATATTTTTTCTATTAGAAAAATATTCAAAAATAATAAAAATAACCAAATTAGGGTTCGGTTAATCTCTTTCCCTTCACCCCATTTAACTACCTGTCCTAATATTGGAAGTATGTAAGAACTAACATCATTATTTGCTAATTAATTTATTAATGAATATATTTGTACCAAGCCACTAACATTACTTATTTTATTGGAGTTCAATTATTTTTAGGTAAAATCTCGATTTTAACTGCTTTGCCCATCGCAACCTCTCCAAATCTTCCTATTCTACTCGCCGGGTCATCTCCTCCACTACAAAATATCTCCTCATGTACTCAAAGTTCTCACTGAAACCTAATATCTACAACTTAGGCGCAGAGGGAGCAACCAATGGATTGTAGCGACCCCCACTATTTTGATAGCTAATCAAGAAGAGCGCGTTTGTTTAGTTGTATGGTGATTCACTTAATTAACAATTTTTATTCCGTTGACAGCCTCATCTCCGCAATTGTATTGTGTTCACGAAGATCTGAAGGCGCAAGTGCAACAGGTCCAGGGGTAAACAATATGTATAAAGTTGGCCAAATTGAATTGAGTCATTCTACTTGGAATATGAAGATTTTTGCTTAATTGCTTTGGTTCGTGATGCAACTATGTTATGTTTGGAGGTAGACCAACGCAAACAAGAGCACAGCTCCAGGGCTATTCTGCACATTAGGTAGTTGGGGCATTAATTGATAATTATTTGGGATTATTCCTACAAGTACATAATTTGGAACGTGCCTTTATATTGCATTGATTAATAGTTGTTTGAGATTTTTCAAATGAGTGATTTGACATGTTAAACTCTCTTATTTTTGAAAATGGAGTCTTCGAAGTGGAATATGAAGATTTTCGATTAAGCTTGGTTTCGTAACGCCCTTATGGGTGTTTATTCTCTAAAATGCAGTTGTCTTTCAAAGTGCCCGTTGCAAATGGCAAGTCAGGATACAACGATGGTACCGGTACACGTTTATATCATTAGTAGGTAGCAGATTGTGTTCATTCTACTGTATCATTTAGCTAAATACTTAGTTGTTCTTTTCAACTAAAAATTATGCTTAAATGCTGTAATTGGCCTCAGAAATGTATGTCTTTGCATTAACTGTTAATGATTGTGAGTTTTGGTTTAATGGTGAAAAGTCCATTTATTTAGAAGTCTAAATTGGGCAAACCTATTGGACAATAGGAATGCCATACATTAGTGTCGTGGGAGGTTTGTTTGATGTCTCAGGGTGTTAGATTTTTAAGAAGGTTGTTTGTTGTGGCAGAGAGTCCCTAAAGCTAGCGAGGTATTCCTATGTGGGCTTTTTCTTTGTTTGACTTTTTCTCGCCTTTTTTCTTATCTCTTTTTCTATTTTTGGTTTTTGTGTGCTACCTTCAGTTGCTACGTCTTCATTTGTGAGCCATCTATACTTTTCTTATTCAGTGCCTAAAAATCATATATACTCGATTGCATAGTAGTTACTAATAGATACATTTATACCAATAGAGAGATTTTAAGTTTTATCAGTTGTTAGTTTTAATATTTACTTACATTGGTTGTTTATGTAGTTTTCTTTGTAATATTTCTCATTATACAACTAATTACTATGGCTACGTAGTTGTATAAGTGGGGGTTGGACATGATAGTTCTTAGAAGCATCAATACTTGAAGGTTATTATAATGACCAAATTCTAAAGTTATGGTTTGCCTTCAACTTGCTTGGAGCATTTCAATTAAGCATCAATTGTTCTCTCTGTGTAGTTAACTCTCAGACAAATCGAAAATCTTGCTGATATGTGCTTGATTGTAGTTAAATTTAGGGTTCTACTGCATTGTTGCTTTACTTTTTTTTCTTGGTTGAGTCTGCTTCAAAAAATTTAGTTTGATTTTAGAAAATTTTGCTTCTGCAGTCCTGTCTTGCCACCAACGCGTTCAATAGATGAAGACGGGAGAGGCGAAGGCTATTTTTGTGTTGTTGTTGCTGGTTTGGGGATCGGTTTGTGAAGAAGAGGGAGAAGAGAGGGGGAAAGGGAAATGCAGGAGAGGGGGATAACTCTTTTCTCCGACAAAAATGGAGTGAAGAAAGGAATTATGATCAGTAAGAATATGGTTATCTTACATAACGGTCTCTATTCTGTTTGAATTGAGCTTGAGAGGCAGTGATAAGGACGAGCTGCAACCAATACATAGTGAGAAGAGAGCTATGGACTGTGATCATGTCTTATTTCAAGTTAGAAGGTAGTTTCAGTATAAGGATTATTTAATTTGACAAGTTGTTTCGTCCATGCTTCTTGGTAGTTTCAGTGCCATTCTAGCCAATGTTTAGTCTGTAATTTTTGAGAATTGATGTGCGAGTAATGACTTTCACTTAGCTTCAACTATTATGTGTATATTTATTGGCATGTGATAGAATTCTCTTTTCCTTTTCATTGAATTCATTTTCATACTCTAATTGTATTATTTGTACATAGGCAAATCATGTTCGAGAGGGCAACTCGCTGATATGGCTGGTGCAAGGAATGAAGCCATCATTAGAATTCAGACCAACAACGGGGAGGGATGCCCAGGACTAATTCAATGATGATTGATGATGGTATAATAAAAACTGCAGTCTGCATCAGCACCAATTTCTAGGCCTAAGTAAAGGTATTCAACCCAGAACTCTGCTTAGCGCTAAAAATTGCCCTCACCCAACCTTGATCCTGTTTGACCCACTTCTGAAGAGTCAAGATATATGACTAATCCTCCCCGTTCGTATTTTCTTATTGACTCTTTCTGACCCTGTAGGTTGGGGCGGGTCGGGAAGAATTGGATTAGTGGGTCGGTCCTAATCAAGTGGAATCCCAATTCCTTCACTCTCACTTGCTTTCTCTCCTATTCCACAAGTGGGTAACATACAGTAATCTGGCCAACGGGCCGGGTAATAAGCTAGTATTATTATAATAATTTATAAGGAGAGAATATAAGGAAAAAGAAGAAAGGGAATGGGGTTCACAGCCAATATTAATTGGACTGGGCCCGGGAGAGCAGAGCAGGCCAGTAGTAGTAATAGGTAGATGACCCAGAGAGAGAGATGAACAGAAGGAAAAAGGCAGAGGCGCACGTGTAGTTGATAGGCCCACAATCCACATGGGGGCCTGGGGAGTAAAGGGGGAAAAAGGAATTTTTTAATATTATAAATTTTTTTATTTAAATTAATAATCGTCCCCTCTCGAAGTTCCCACCCACACGCGCACCAACCCAAAATCGAAGGGGCAGAAATCCAGTGGGGCCGATTCTACAACAAAGCACCAACCCCATCCTCCCCTCTTCAATGATCACGACAGTTCACGCACGGACGGAGATCATATGATTGACTTCTCCCCCCCCAACCCCAATCTTTAATCCGACGGCCCTGATTCATTTTTGTATTCTGGATTTTCACTTTTCTGTTATCCACCTCCCATTGGCCATTGGTGTTGTAATTAAATTATTGAACATGATCATGCATGAGATGACCTCATAAACCCTCCTGATTATGTTTAACTCTGTAATTAATTAATTAAATTGCCCTAACAGCCAGAGATCTCTTGGATGAATATCTGACAGCAAAGCCGTATTTGTCTTATTTTTTTTTTAATTCTAAAGCTTACTTATCCCAACTTGCTTTGCATCTGACAACAACATACATCATGTAAATTAGTTTTTATAGTGTGTTTTTGTAACGACGCTCTTATATTATATTAGATTGAAGGATAATTTAGTACTTGTGTTCGAGAAGGAAATTCCGAATCCTAGGGAGGGTAAAAGCTTTATATAAAAACTAGCATTAACCCTGCCCTGCCACCGGGAGTGGAGCAGTGGAAAAGCGCAACCAAAGGGTTAACCCAAGACCAAATTAAGCTAATTGCCGGAATATCTGCCGGGGTTGGGTTGTTCTTCATCTTATTGATAATCATTTGTTGCATTTGTTGTTGTCGGAAGAAGAAGAAGAAGAGTAAACAAGAACACATACACCATTATTACGGCGAGTACCCAATGGGTCCCCCACCAGAGCAGTACTATATGAATAGCGGCCAACACCCTCCACCTCCTCAAAAATGGCAACAATCGCAACCACCGATGGGGATGAATTACAGCGGTGGACAGCCTGGGACCGGGTGGCAAGGTGGGCCTCCTCCGATGATGTCCAGTGGGGACATGACTAGCGCCAATTACTCCAACCTCCAGCCGCCGCCCCCGCCGCCAACGATCTCGGTTGGTTTTAATCAAAGCACTTTTACATTTGAGGAGTTGCAGGCTGCAACGGGCGGGTTTGCACAGTCAAATCTGTTGGGGCAAGGTGGGTTCGGGTATGTTCATAAAGGGGTTTTGCCTAATGGAAAAGAAGTTGCGGTAAAGAGCTTGAAATCTGGCAGTGGGCAAGGTGAGAGGGAATTCATGGCAGAGGTTGAGATTATCAGTCGGGTTCATCATCGACATCTTGTGTCGCTCGTTGGGTATTCGATTACTAATCAACAGAGGTTGTTGGTTTATGAGTTCCTTCCTAATGACACTCTTGAAAATCATCTCCATGGTAATTAATTTCCCTATCTTTCTCTGGTTTTTTCTTCTTCTTCCAATGGATAAATTTGGGCTAGATTAATAGCATGTTTTGGCAATTGGGATGAAATATGACAAGGGTCCTTAATTTATTGCATTTAGATAGTCTTATCATAATTTAGGTTTTCTGGATGCATACAGTAGTAATTATGAACAAAATCATCACAAGGTGCATCTAATATTCTTATATCTCATAAGAATGTAATGGCCATACGCCCACTAGAATTACTACGACATATTAAAGCTATAAATTATTGTTAAATGCATCTAATAGTCATGGGTCTAAAATGCACAATCCAAGCTCATTAATGCATTAGGCCGTCGTATAATTGATAGGTGTATGTTGGATGTGGTGCATCATGAAAGTCTGTCATTACATGAAATGGAAAATATATGGTTTAATAGGAATTATCTATGGAAGATTTCATTGTTATACATTCATTTTTAAGGCAGTATGATTTTACAATCCTACTCATTAAGAAAGAGTTAAAATATAAACCAATATGATAAAATTAAGAATGATCTATGGAATATATAATTTTACCCAATTCTTTTTACTTGTCGAATGAATGAAGAATTATTCACATTTCATTGGAAGAAGAATTTCAAAACCTCATACTTGATGTATTAAAAATGAAATAAGATATAAAATATCATCCTAATATTTTGGATAGCTTAGAGATATAATTGAAATTTTTTTTATAAGAGAGATACAATTGAAGTTGATTGGTAATATCTTTGGGATGTAGGGAGGGGCCGTCCAGTTATGGATTTTCCTACTAGGCTCAAGATAGCATTAGGCTCTGCCAAGGGACTCGCCTATCTCCATGAAGATTGTAAGTTACAAAAAGTTCTCTTGTAAGTTCTACTTTACTAATAAATTTTAACGTGTAAATCACTTACTTACCCTTTTTACTAGGCCACCCGAAGATCATTCATCGGGACATCAAATCTTCCAACATACTCTTGGACTTGAACTTTGAAGCTAAGGTATATATAGTTTGACTTATAATTCCTTGCCAACCTTTAAGCTTGAACTAAGGGTAAGTAACTAATATTGGCTCCTCCTTCCTATATGTTTCAGGTGGCTGATTTTGGGTTGGCCAAGCTCTCTACGGACAATCACACTCATATATCTACACGAGTGATGGGCACGTTTGGGTATCTGGCTCCAGAGTATGCATCAAGTGGGAAGCTGACAGAGAAATCTGATGTGTTCTCGTTTGGGGTCATGCTCTTAGAACTCATCACAGGGAAGAGACCCGTGGATCCAACCAATGTCATGGAAGATTGCTTGGTGGATTGGGTTTGTTTACTGAACTTAACTACTGACTAAATTGCTTCTAAATGTAAATTTGTTAATGTCTTCTTTCCCTTTTTCCTCAACTATTTCATTTGATTGGCATAGGCACGCCCTCTCATGACCCGAGCACTGGATGAAGGCAACTTAAATGAGTTGGTTGACCTTAAAATGGAGGGCAACTTCAACACTGGAAAGATGCTAAGAATGATCGCATGTGCCGCTGCCAGCATTCGCCACTCTGCCAAAAAGCGTCCTAAGATGAGCCAGGTAACAACTTTTGATAATTTCTTTTTGTCAAACAAGGTGACCATATTTTGAACCATTTGATGTGCATGTTTTGTATTTACGTAATTACACTATCAAAATGAAACCAAACAGATAGTGCACACGTTGGAAGGAGATGCATCTTTGGACGACTTGAACGACGGGATCAGGCCCGGCCAAAGTTCTATCTTTGGCGCAGCTGGGGGTAGTGGCGGCGAGTACGACATCAGTGCTTACAACGCCGACATGGAAAGGTTCCGACAAGTAGCATTGGCAAGCCAGGAATTCTCAAGCAGCGAACATGAGACCACTTCATCAAGCAGCGATTCTCGAGACATGGCACCGGCCGGCCTTCGCAAGTACAATTTGTAAACGGAACATACAACTGGTTGTAACCAACAAACAAAGCTCGACAAACATTGGAGGGGGATGTTAGAAGAGGAAAATGAGAGACGACTTTACTGAATAGAGTGCAAAAGAAAGAAAGAAATTAATGTTAGGCATTCCATTGAAGTCTTTTTTACTCTCAGTTGTTTTTGTTGTGCAAATGTATGTTTTTTTAATGGTAGGAAAAACCAAGAGGAGAAAGTATTGGAAAAGAACAAAGAAAAGAAGCGGAAAGAGGAAGACAAAAAAAAAAAGGAAAAAACAATTGTTAAGCATATGATGTTGGATCTTGATTTATAGTACTGACTGAAAATTTCTCTTTCTTTCTTTCATTTTATTATTTTCATAAGTGGACAATTAATTTCTCATTCATCCTCTTTGTGGTTTGTAACATTTGAGTAATGAAAAGTGGAGACACATATCCAGTTCTATATACTTACTTACATTAGTTTGTGTGATTTTTGCATTACTTAAGTTTTTAAAGTTTAGCTAATTTGTGCCTTGTGGCCTGTGGGGCTTTTAATTATGATTTTTTAAAATGAATTAATATACATGCATACTAGCGCCTTATTAAATATTTTTTATATTATGTTATATTGTCCATTTGTTTCTCCTATTTAGACTGCACTCGTTATCACAACTTCTTGATAAAATAAAAAATTCATAGTTTTTGTAAAGTTACAAATATGGCATTATCTTATTTTTAGGGCTAATACCACTAGGAAACCCGAACTATTAACTTTGTGTCATTTGTGTCATAAAGTATTCGATATGACAATTGTGTCCCAAACTATTTTTCCGTTATGGTTGACCGGCGTTGACCGTTAGTTTTTAACAGAAAGTCTAGTCACCGCTCTTATGTGGCATCTGACGTGGAATTTTTATTATTTTATTATATTTATTTTTTCATAAAAATGAATAAACTAACAAAAAGAAATAAAGAAAAGTTATAAAAAAAATTCAGATATGAAGATCTGCATCTCCGGGGAACAATTCCGGTGACGGTCGACGCGAATGAATTGCTAGCAGCCTTCTCGTCTTTGTTTGAGGGAGTTGACGAGCCAAACCATAGCTTTGCCGTCGAATCCGAGGGGAAGCTTGGATTGAGGATTGGAAATACAGACGAGCCACCCCCTATTCTTCTTCTTCTTCTTCTAGAGATAACAAAAATGCTGGAATTGAAAAAATCCCAAATTCAAAAACCTAATTCTTATCAAACCCTTACCCACCATAAAATCTGAGGTTGCGGCAGATTTAGTAGTTGAAGGGAAGATGAGGAACTGTGGTAGTTGCCTGCGGCGACCACTGAGCACGGCCGGATGGAGCCCATGAAGCTCTATCGGGGAGTGAGGCAGAGGCATTGGGGGAAATGGGTTGCTGAGATCCGTCTCCCCCGAAACAGGACGCGCCTCTGGCTTGGAACGTTCGATACCGCCGAGGAAGCCGCCTTGGCTTACGACAATGCGGCGTTCAAGCTCCGCGGCGACTTCGCCAGGCTGAATTTCTCAAGCCTCCGGCACCAGGGGTCCCACGTCGAGTGCAAGTTCGGCGAGTACAAGCCCCTCTATTCCTCCGTCGACGCCAAGCTCGAAGCGATTTGCCAGAGCTTGGCAGAGAACGGCGGGAAAGGAGGGAAGAAGAAGAAACCCTCGACGACGGTTGCAAAGAAGGCGGCTGCGGCTGCGGCAAAGGCCGCGACGGTGGTGAAGAGGCGCCGTTGGATTATGACACTAGGAACTTCAATTTGGAGAAGTGCCCTTCTTATGAGATCGATTGGGATTCAATTTGATAAAATAAAGGATGGGGAAGAAGGGATAGGGACGAGGTCCATCGTCTTCCACCATTTGTTCGGGTATGAAGAGATGAGGAAGAAGGGATTATTTTTTATTTTTTATTTTGTATTTTAATTGTTAATTTTAATTGTAATTTTAATTTAAAAAATTATAATCTGATGTGGCAGCTGACGTGGCGCATATGTGGCTGCCACATATGTGCCATGTAACCAAAAGTCAACATTTTATGGTTGACTGTTTGGTCAACCGTTATCTATAACGGTCAACAAAATTGTTAGGACGTAAATGACACACAATTATCATACGTCAGGACACAATTGTCATATCGAATACTTTAGGACACAAATGACACAAAGTTAATAGTTTGGGTTTCCCAGTGGTATTAGCCCTTATTTTTATTAATGTATATAAGTTTACGAGCGAATCTAACGAGACATGAGTGACTAGATTTAGGAACAAAAAGTGCCTAAATATCATTTTAATTTGTGTTTTACGAAAGAGAATGAGTCAGAAAAGAAGACATGTTGCTATTTAATGCCATGGATACCGGTTCGTAAATGGATTTTTTTGTCTGAATACTAGTTCTGTGCAATATGGATACTCTTTTGTGTTATCTGGATATTAGTTCGTGAATGTAAAATACGTATTGTTTTCATGCTGGATATCATTTAGCAAACATTGAAAACTAGTTGTTTTGAATGTTGATATTAGTTCGTAATTGATTGGCTTTTATACTAATTATGTGATGTTTGTATACTCTTATTTGTTGTCTAGATATTAGTTCGTGAATGTGGAGCTCTCTGGATACTAGTCTGTGCTCTCATGTATACTAAAATACTGCTTCATCATAGTGTGGTTACTAGTTCATGTATACTGATCGATATCAAAATGCTACCAAGTGTACTGATTTATATCAGCTAGCAAACCTTGAATACTAATTGGTTTGATTGTGGATATTAGTTGGTAATTGATTGGTTGAATATAGTTATGTGAATCTGGATGCTATATTGTGCTCTATGGATACAATTTTGTGCTCTATTGAATTTAGTTAATTAAAACAAAATCATACCAAGTGTTCAACAAAACATGGATACTACTTCAACTCAAGCGGATACTAGATCGTGCAATATGAATATTAGTCCGGGATGCTTTCTCTCTCCCGTGTGAGAATAGTTGGTGGGTGGCATTAAATACTAGTTTTTGAATTTTGGATACTAGTTCTCTCAATTGGATTAGCTCTTAGTCGAGAAGCCACCAAAATCCACTTAAAGGAGCTCTTCCTTGAGCCCAGCCCTTGGATCTCAGTTATGTCTGTGTGGCCTTCATCCTCACTGTGTGAGTATGTACTCACAAAAAGGGCTATGAGCACCATAGCTAGATTGACTACTATAGCACTTGCCCCCAATTTGTTACTTGAGTTCTTTTTTCCAGAATTGATCTCTTTCTATAAGATATAAATAACTTCATATAAAATATAAATGTGAAAACATCACTATCAAATATGCATTAAATACAGTGTAGTATAGTTGGTTATATATAGTGCTCTTCCTCGTTTGAGTGACGTAGATTTAAATTAAAATAATAACAGTTTTAATATATAAAAATAAATTGGACGTAATTACGAAAATTACATCCTAAAATAATTCACGGGCAAGAAAATTTGAAATGCGGAACAATATTTTTCATTCTACTTTACATATATGTGTAGATTTGTCTATCTTGAGCATGATTGCCATGCCGGTGGTGAACACAGCTAGCAGAGTGATCGATTTACGGTATCTAACCTAAATGATGTCATTTTAGTGAATTTTATTCAAAAATTCATTTATTATTGATTTTATGAATTAAAAATTAAATTTGATGTTATTTGTTGGATTCAAGTACAAACTTTTAGCTAGTGACATTAAATATTTTATTTAAATATGAGTATTTTTTATTTTATTTGGAACGTTATTTTTTATTTACATATAGATATGGGTTGTAAGCAAATTGTTTTCAAATATGATTTAAATTTATATATATGATTATATTCATTCGATGTTAATTATTTTTCATATTTCTACATCTTTTATTAAACGGACATGAACCGACATAAAATCAATTATATTATTGATCGAACAATTTCACTGGCTAACCGACACAACTGTATAACCCAATTTTAAAAACTTGATCACGACCTACCGAGCTAAAGCCAGGTTCGACACACTTAAAAACTTATTAGACTCGCCATAAGCAGCGTCTCGTGGGCCGTGGCCCATTACATAGTTAAGGCCTCGTATAAATTCAACTCACCTCTGATTCGCTGTTCACTAAGGATCCGGACTGTGGCCTCAAAGAGCCCTCCACCCGACGCCGACCCCAAATTCCGATCGGCCGAATCTCGTCTGCTCCTTCTCTGCGATTCCCGGGAGATAAAAGTTGAAGCGCGGCAAATTCGCTCCCGACGAAGACGAATAGGAGCTTAGCTTTTTCATCCCGTCGCCATGGGGGACTACACCGATGCGTTCATGCGCAACCAGAACACTGCCGTTCGCGGCGCCACCAAGGCGCAGAACCGAGCTAACGTTCTCCAGCTCAAACTGGTTCGTTCCCTTTAGAGCTAGGGTTTTCTCGTTCTCCGAGACTCATACAGAAACACTAATCACCGATTTGTGATCTATTGGCGTCTATCTTATCAGGGTGTTTTTCCTTCATCTGATTGTTTCTTGATGATAGGATGTTCATTATCACATGCTGCATCATTTCTCCATCATAGATACGGAATTTATCGATGGAATCCATCCGCAATAGTTATGTTATATCGCATTCTTGCGATTATGAAGCTGTTCTATGAGTTTCATCTTTATCCCGTCGTCAAATGCAATAAGTTATCTCTAACCGAGGGACAGGCGGGTTTCACAAATATTTCTAGTAGTTAGCTGTATATGGTGCTGCACACTGATAATTGTTGGTTAGAGAGGTTTGTGTAGTTAAGCTGTTTGGGTCTGGGTAAGTCGATGTTGAATGTTGTGGTTACTTTTTGCAGATTGGGCAAAGCCACCCAACTGGGTTGACAAACACCCTTTTGAAGCTTTTTGAGCCTCGTCCTCCATTGGACTTCAAACCCCCTCCTGAGAAGAGAAAATGCCCACCCTACTCTGGTATCACTTTTTTTTTATATATCTTGATGGTATTGCTTAATATCTTCCCTTATGTGCATAGCTCTGTATTGGGTTCTAATCCCTCTGGTGTTCTGGGGTTTTGTCTCTTTTCGTTGTTTTCAAAGGTATGGCACAATTTGTGAGCAATTTTGCGGAGCCTGGTGACCCTGAATATGCTCCACCTGTTGAAAAAGCCGAAACTCCTGTATGTCTCCATCTTTCTGAAGTTCTTTCTGGAACTGTGTCTTGTTTTGAAGTTGCTCATTCTCTGTTTTTTTTGTACATTCCATAGATTTGAAATCATGATTTTGTTGTCTGTTTTATCCAGGCACAAAGAAGAGCCAGAATCCACAAGCTACGATTGGAAAAAGGTGCAGAGATTGCTGCTGATGAACTTAAAAACTGTGAGACTTTCGTTCTCTTGCCTGAATCTTATCTATATGCACAGAATAAATCTTGTAGTTCTAACATGTTGGTACACATCTTGTAGTTCTAACATGTTTGTACTCCTTTTCTCTCATCCAGATGATCCCACTAATGACTCGAATGTCTCAGGAGATCCGTACAAAACATTGTTTGTGGCTAGGCTTGTGAGTCTTACCTTTAGTTCTCTTTTTTTGCTTTTCAGTTATTTTATTTTTTTTGTTTATGGTGACTCTATCTAAGTTGCTTAATCTTTTCTTGCAGAACTACGAGACATCTGAGAGTAGAGTTAAAAGGGAGTTTGAGTCTTATGGACCAATAAAAAGGGTAGGTACTTTTGAATATAAGCAAGGAGGTTTGGTAAGCAGATATTTAACAATATTATTATTCACCTTTGCTAAACAGTTAAAGGATCCTAAATTCTTAACTAAACCTGAGGCTATTTGTTCCTATGTCTTTATTTCGCATGTCTGCCTCTGTGGTCACTTAAAAAAATTAATGTCATGCCAATTTTTCAAGTTCTAAAGCTTGTTCGAGAAACAATTATTAGTAAAACCACAGGTATGATTTGCCAAAGAAAAAGGTTTCTTCCGTTTAACATGTGGTATGTGCGCTGTGGTTAGTGCATTCTGTACTCAATAATATGGAAGACTGTTGATCTTCTCTCTAATTTCTAGCATCAGTGACTCGGGTGAAGTATGCAGGTCAGGTAATAGGACAGGTATCACTGCTTATTCACTGGTATTAACATGGATTTCATGAGCTGATCCTTTGATAACTCTGTTTGTTGTAGTTGGTTTTAGAAATTATCTTGGGATTAGGAAATGTTTCAGTTTCTAAGTAGTATGATCTGCTAAGATTCATGACAGTGGGAGATCTGTGGTAAGGGGTTTGTTTATTTTGTTCCTCAAATGGAAATCTAGGCTCTTTATTTATCTTGCCATTCCAAATGCAAAGATGTTGCCTCCTGCTGGTCAAGCTGAAAATCGTAATTGATCCGAGCTTAGAGCACTTGCCCTTTGTCCTATGCAACAAAAGAAGGCTGGCATCTGTTTTTTCTCCTACTCTTGGTAACAAAGTTGGGAGTATTAGCACCTCTTATCTCTTTATCTGGACTTATCATAGTACAATTTCTGCTACTAAAACTCTTACTTTTGACATTTAAGGCTACCAAAACACTTCAGCAATTGTGAAGATGTTCTTCTGGTATTTCCTTCATTTTCTTACTGTCTCCCAATTAGAACATTGCTCCCTGGTAAGGGGACGGTTAGTCTTTTCTGTCCAAGAAATGGTAAATATGGCACGATATATCAGTTTTACTGCAACTCTAGCACTGGCGGTGATGCATCTCACAATTGGCAGCCCTTTTATTGAAGGTGAGCACGGCTCATTAGGCTTAGTGCCTGTCTGCCGTGCCATTTTAGGAATTTGTAGTTCAAAAGTTTCCATAAAAGTGCACTCTATATGGAAAATAGGTGACAGAGATTCATTTTATTTTCTTTGTGCATTAGATCATTCTCTTGCTTTGAGCATTGCAGGTCCGCCTCGTGACAGACAAGGATACAAACAAACCTAGAGGCTATGCTTTCATAGAATATGTGCATACACGGGACATGAAAGGTTTGAGCTCATTCTTGTACATTATCTTCTACTCTTCTTCTGTATGGCTTTCTGATTTGTGCTTATATGTTTGGCAGCTGCATATAAGCAAGCTGATGGGAGAAAGATTGATGGTAGAAGGGTACTTGTTGATGTCGAACGTGGTAGAACCGTGCCAAATTGGAGGCCTCGCAGGCTTGGTGGTGGACTTGGAACTAGCAGAGTAGGTAGCGAAGAGGTTGCTACGAGGTACTTTGGGAGGCATTGTTTGTTGTGGTTAAATACTTAATAGCGTTGTAAACTGTAGCTGCATGTTGTCTCATCATATGTCCCTGATAGAGACCTAATTGGTTGTCTTGGGCTGTTCATTTTGCCAAATTAAGGATAAATTAACTTGCATCCGTAATTATTTTGATTGTTATATGTTTCTGAAAATGATATACTCGTTGTGTGTCATTGGAAACCATTTTGACACCGCCTGCATCATTAATTATCGTGGACATTGATCTGCTTCTGTTGGAGAAATTTATGTCTACTAAAATGTGCTTTGGTTTGTTTTTTTACAGAGAAGCTCAGCAACCTGGAGGTACATCACGATCTGAGGAACCAAAGGCTCGTGATGATCACCATGTTGAACGGTAAGTTGCCTCGTCTTGTTTGATTTATATAGAAGACAGAATGAAGGTTGTGTATATCTTGTTTAATTTACTATTTTTCTTTGTATGTTCTGTTCTGAATTTTTGTTTATATCCGACGGTGATCTATTATAGGGAGAAGTCGCGGGAGAGAGGGAGGGAGAAGGAGAGAGAAAGAGAGAAGTCCCGCGAGAGATCCCATGATCGCCCAAGGGATCGTGACAACAACAGGGAGGATAGGCATCACAGAGACCGTGATAGGGGTGAGAGGGAGAGAGAGCGAGGAGGCCGAGACCGAGACCGAGAAAGAGATAGTAGGGATGGCCGTCGCGATCGTGGTGGTAGAGACCACCGCGATCGGACAAGAGAGAGGGAGAGGGATGGCGGTGATGATGACCTTCGTGGACGCTCCCGTGATCGAGAATATGATTACCAACGTGACGACTCAAAGCATAATAGGGACCGTCGTGATTATGATGGTGGTGATGCAGAGGACGATCCTGGGTGGTACGATCAATCTGATCAAGGGGACATAAGCGGTCTGTCGATGATCAACAACGATATAAGCAGTATGACCGTCATCGTGGTAGGGAGCAGCAATATGACGACATGGATGTTCAAGAAGGCGATCAAGACCGTTATGGCGATCAATACACTGCTGGCCGTGATCGATCATATCAGGTGGGTGATGATGATGATGATTACCGCTAATATTGGGGAAGAGCTTCTGCAAGGACATCGGGCTGGTTTTCAAGGGAATCCCACAAGACTTTCCTTGAAGCCTGTAGCGGTGAGATTGAGATGAAATTTGTTTTGAAGGTTTTTTTGGTTTCGTGTTTTTTGTACTGAAGAAAGGTCTGTTGAATTAGTTGCTGGGTGGATCACATTTGGTTGGTGTTTTGTGTCGCAAGTCTCAAGGTACTGGCTGCAGCCTGCAGGATTTACTTGGTTATCTGTATTGTTTAATGTGTTTCTCTGCCAGTTTGGTTGAAAGCTCCTATCTCTCTCTGTCTCTAATCTGTTTTATATTAGGGATATTGGTGGGTTGCATATTTGTATATTGGTGCTTAGTCTAGTCTGTGTCCTATTTCATAGAGTGAAAAGATACTAGAATTACTCAAAAAAAATTTCACGTTTGTCACTGAAATCAATTTATTCCATCCGTAGTCACTTAAATTAAGTTAACAGTTCAAGTTTGGTCACTGGCCGTTAGTCTCCGTTAACTTTTGCTGATGTGGCGGTCAACTCTTATAGTTGACCGTTAAATGAGTGACGTGGCAATTAAAATAATAATAAAAAATAAAATTTAATTATTTCATATTTTCCACCTAATTATTTTAAAAATTTAAAATAAAACCTAACTTGCCGCTAACTTCTCTTCGGTCACCGGGTTGAGAAGGTAAACGTTGTTGCCGACGGGGCCGAAGGAGGACCAACCAGCCGTCGCTGGAGCTCACGCTGCGGCTGGTCCCTATGTTTGCGAACGAGGCGGCCGAGTTCGCCGCCCCGCGATGATCGAAGGAGGGCGTGCGGTCCAGATCGGGGAAGAAGCGATGGCCGATGGGTGGAGTGCGGAGATGCCTGGAGTGCGGCGGCGGCAGCGGTTGTGGAGGAGGAGGTTTTTCTTGGACCCAGATTTCGAAATCGTTCCTGAAGCTTACCTGTCAAAATGGTACACGGCCACAAGCAAGGTCTACACTGTGACCAGGGCCTGGAGATTGTTGTTGAGGAAGATAGAGTAGAAACGGTTGAGCCTGGTAAGAGGGGATGAGATTGAGCTGTGGAGCTGAGGTAGGTAGATAGATAGATGAATACGTACAATGGGGCAAAAGGGGAAACTCTTAAACAAACAAATGTCGTCTCCACTTCCATTTCCATCCCAAAAGTCATATTCTCCACCATCCATTCAATTCCTTCCTTGTGGCCGCAGACCAAAACAAGATCCCTCCACCATCCACAACCCCAATTTCTTCCTTCTCAGTCTCTCTATCTTTAGGGTTTTCCAATTCGGTTATCTGCCATCAGTTAATTAATTCGTGCAAAAGACAATATATTGATAGATCTCAAACCAGCCGTGTGGAAGCCTCCATTGGCTCTCCTCCTTTGCTGCGGCCAAGAAATATCGAAGCCGAAGTATGGGCTGCTCAAGAAAGCTCACGTGATGTCTGTATTCTGCGACGGCGAGGTTGCAGTCATCGTCTTCTCCCGGCGCGGGAAGCTCTCCGAGTTCTCTAATCACGAGTAAGCTAATGCTATTTAGGATTTTCTTTTTTTAATTTTTAAAATAATTAGGTGGAAAATAAAAAATAATTAAATTTTATTTATTATTATTATTTTAATTGCCACGTCACTCATTTAACGGTCAACTATAAGAGTTGACCGCCACATCAGCAAAAGTTAACGGAGACTAACGGGCAGTGACCAAACTTGAACTGTTAACTCAATTTAAGTGATTACGGATGAAATAAATTAATTTCAGTGGCAAACGTGAAATTTTTGAGTAATTCTAGTGACCAAACTTGCAATTTAGCCGAAAAGAAACTAACAACGGGACGGAATGCCCAGAATCGCAAGTGATGAAATCAAGCAGGACTAAACAATACCAATCTCTGAGGTTTAAAATCAAGAACACAGTCTTCTCCTAGGGCTGCAAATGAGCCGACTTGCTCGTGAACGGTTTGGCATTCGACTCGAGAAAAATTTGTTCGAAACTCGACTTGTTTACAAACGAGCGGAGTTTAGTTAAGCATGCAGCAGCTCGCGAGCTAGCTCGACTTGGTGTCTTGTTGAGTTCAACTCGTGAGCTGACTCATTTACAGTTCATGAGATGTCTTATTTAATTTTAAAAAGAAATTATGTATCATAAATTACTTCGATTAGTTAAAATTTATTAACTAAATAATATGAACACAAATATTATTATTATAATTTTCATTTTGACATTAATCACATTTATCATATATGACATACAAACTGAATATATCAAATACGAGTCAAGATTTTAGTAACCAAACTAGCTCGACTTCGAGTTGGGACAAAACTCGACTTATTTGCATCGCTACTTGCAGCCCTACTTGCAAGGTGCAAGTGCAATCAACCTTCACGAGTGAGTGAGCTATTCAAAGACGCCACTCACTCTCACTGTTAAGAGTCCATGAAGTGACATCGGAAATGCTGATTAAATTAGACACGAGGAAAGTACATGACTTGGTAGATTGGAAAAGGCCCGCTTGATAATTGTCAAGAACCAGTTGATCCCAATAACTCGAGTTGTTGGGAGAAGGTTATGCTGGATCTTATACCACACCCTAACACGCCCCCTCAAACGAAAGCCAACTCATGGGCTTGAAATTTGCACAGGCCCACCATACCTTGTGCTTTAATCAACTGTTAATATTGGGGGTCGTGGAGATTCGAACACACGACCACTTGGCCAAACCAGCTCTGATACCATGTCATAAACCAGTTGGTCTCAATAACTCGAGTTGTTGGGAGAAGGTTATGCTGGATCTTATACCACACCCTAACAATAATATCCAACAAGCAATGGGATTTTGGAGATCGTTGGAGAGGATGGTTATGGCCTATGGGAATGAAGTCAAAATTGTTCAAAATTTGCTAAGGAACAAAATTAAGATGGTAAATTGCAAGTTTAGTTGGATTACTAAAAAAAATTCATGTTCGTCACTAAAAATATTTTATTCTAATCATTATCACTAAAATTATCACCTCTACTTTTTAGTGTTTTCATATCCGGTCAATACGAAAGATTTCCGGGTTGAATATGTGAGATATAATTAACCTCCCAGCTGAATGATTCTCGTTGTTCTTTGAGGAACACCTCCTTGCACTACTACAGGAAATTTCGCCACTTTGGATTTTTTTACCACTTTCCTCTTTCTTTTCCTCCTTCGGTTGCTTGCATTACAAGACAGCCGTATTCAGAGGCTGTTTCTTTTCTGTGCACGGAGTAACGTCATTTTTACAGGAAACCCAACAGCTTAACCTTTAGCTAAAAACAGCAGTACGCATTTCCCGTTTAAGTTCCGACTGCAACTTCACACTGGAAGTACACACCTCAGAATAAATTTGGTAACATCGATAAATTCGATACAAATGTCGATGCATCTCAAATACCGGTACCAAAGTTGCTTTGGTCACACCCATGCCACCTTCCTCTGAAAGGAATCACAAAAGGACGCCTCAGAATTTCATATCCGGGTCGAATTAGGAAACTACCCCACACATGCAGAAGCAACTTTAAGACTGAGCAGCCAAAGGAGTGAACATTTAAACAACTCATATATTATCATCTTTCCCTCTTGCACACAGTTCTTCCTGCAGCATTCTCATCAGTTAACTTGAAGGAAAAGAAAACAATGGATCAGAACAACAAGCTCAGCCAAAGATCAGTAGCAGCCTGGATGACAATTCTATGGCTGCTTACCATCAGAATCATAGCCACTGCAGCACATAGAATGTTAGGAGATGAAACTGAAGAAGTGCAGAAAGAAATTAGACAAGATCAGTTCCTGACAAGAATGGTTCATTTCCTGTGGCAGAGTGGCAAGTCATCTTATGAGCCTGTCTGGCCTGTGAGTAATACCAATTCTGTTCCCTTTTCGCACCCTTTCCCCCCTCCGATTGTTCTTCAATTCTAATCCCTAAACTTTTCAGGAAATGGAGTTTGGATGGAAGATTGTGGTAGGAGCAGTAGTAGGCTTCTTTGGAGCTGCATTTGGCAGCGTTGGGGGAGTTGGAGGTGGTGGCATCTTTGTTCCCATGCTTACATTGATCGTCGGCTTCGATCCCAAGTCCTCAACTGCCATTTCCAAGTGTAAAGATCAACGCGAGCTTTTCAACTTCATAGTTTAACCATGTGCTGTAACGTTTTTTTTTAATTAATGATGGATGGTGGTGGTGAATTCTGCAGGCATGATAACGGGCGCTGCTGGATCAACAGTTTACTACAACCTGAGACTGAGGCATCCGACGCTGGACATGCCACTCATTGACTACGACCTTGCCCTCCTGTTTCAGCCGATGCTGATGCTTGGGATCAGCATCGGTGTCGCGTTCAATGTCATGTTTGCTGACTGGATGGTCACTGTTCTCCTCATCATTCTCTTCATAGGCAAGTTGGTGATCACTAGTTACTGGAAAGATAAAAATAACAGTAGTAGTTGGAATTGAATTAATGGGGCTAACTCTGCAATTGACTACTCTGCAGGTACATCAACAAAGGCTTTATCCAAAGGTATAGAGACATGGAAGAAGGAAACAATGATGAAGGAAGCTTCCAGGCAGATGGAATCACAACCCAAAACAGATCATGATGGTACTGACCATTTTGTTAATGCCTAACCATATAAAGAAAAATGGGTAGTATACTGTGAAGTGTATAATTTACTGAGGTAAATTTCTGCAGATCATGGCAATGGTGGTGAACAAGACTATAAGAGGCTGCCAAGTGGGCCAGCAGCTCTCCATGATAAAGATGATGAGGTGAGTTTATTCATATTTACTGTTTTCAGCAGAAACTAATCCCATCTAGTTACTTATGTGCTCTCTGTTGTTCCTTTTTTCTGCTATTGTTATCAGGTTTCCTTATCACAGAACATACACTGGAAAGAGATGGCAATGCTGGTTTATGTCTGGGTGGGATTCCTTCTAGTTCAACTAGTTAAGGTACCGGCACACAACTTCCCTTCACCTTTTTTCAGTGTCGCGCGAAATTCTTCGATAGACTGAATCGATCGATTCGTGTGACTTTGTAACGCAGACATATGTTCCAACTTGCTCTGTCACATACTGGATCTTGAATGCCTTGCAGGTAATACCCATTTCAGACTTTCTTAATTAACAGTAGTGCTTATATTTTGCTGTAGCAACTCAAAAGAAGAAATGTTGCTGCAATGGTTTGTACTGTAGGTACCAATTGCAGTGTCTGTGTCAGTGTATGAAGCGGTGTGGCTGTGGAAAGGGAAAAGGGTGATAGCTTCCAGAGGGAAGCAAATCACCAACTGGAAGTTGCATCAGTTGTTGCTCTACTGTTGCTGTGGGATTGTGGCTGGGATGGTTGGTGGCCTCCTTGGCCTTGGTGGTGGCTTCATCTTGGG